AAAGAGTGTAAACGGGTTAAAAAGATATCGAAAATTTGAGAGAAGAGAAAAAAGGGCTTATCTCGATGTAAGAATGTGGAGTTCTACATTTTGAATGGAGAGAATCTGATTGTTCGGTTAAATGCGTTGTAAACAGAGTTATTTGTCATCAGAGGAGTCGCATCTTCCATCCATAGTAAGTTCTGAAGATAGTCTTAAGCAAGAAATCATTTAAAATAATTAAATTGGTATTATATTGATTATATGTTTATTAAGGCTCGTGCGTGATCATCACAGTTATATTGAATTGTGACATTAGAAGTGAAAAATGAGATGTTAATTTTTGTTACATTGTCATTTGTAAATAAAGACAATTTGGACAAGACGACATGGGATCACTTTAAAATAATTATAAAAATGACGAAAGTTCTTATTCCCCCCCCCCCCCCCCGACAGTCAGAAAGTAATCGTAAAAAAATGATAAAGGAAAATGATAAATGAAAATGAACGTGCTCTTTCTCAATGCTAATGTTTAGCCTATTTTCACTTCGCGAACGTTTTCCGACTATTTACTGACTGTTAGGGGGATAAAGATAGCTTTCGTTTATTTTTACAATTGTTTTAAAGCGATCTCATTATTTCGTTTTATTCATTGTCTATATTTACAAATGGCACGTAACAAAAATTAACATATTATTTTTCGCTTCTGGTGTCACAATTAAATATGTGGTGACTATTTAGGAGTCTTACGATAATAATCTCACTTGAAAGGAGAATTATTTTAATAATTCTCTTTTACAAAATAAGAACTTCATTTAAGCCGATTTAATCTATGATTCCTGTTTTCTTTTTATAATGTCTTCTTTTCAATAAAATATATATAGTCGCGCCGAAATAAATTTAGTATACATTTTCTTATCTCTTTGTCAGAAACGATTGAACCAATTGAGTTTTAACTAGTCTTAAACTGGATCGCTAGGATAAATTGTATAAGAAGTTTTTTTAGTTTCCTAGAGTTACCCACAGAACGCGCATTCGTATTTTTCGAATCATTTCGTTTTCCTTATACAGAATAAAAAAATCCTCTACAATAAAAGATCCTAAAATCGTCTGTATTACCAACTAAATCATATAATTTTTGTATAACAATTAGTTTTTTCTCTTTTACCGATTCGAAAATCTTTTTTCAAGATTAAAATATAAACATTAATATGCGCCTGGTGGCTAATATGAGGTGGTGGAGTTTATCGAGAACGATAAAAAATTTCAAAATCGAGATTTTTATCATTTTTTAGTTCAATATGGCGCTCCAAAGCTGTTACGTTATGACAACATTTACTTTATATAAAAGCTGTGCAATCTGTACACAGTAAAAAATTTTATGTTAAATTTAACACATTTCACATGTCCCAAACGTTCCACCCAAATTTTTTGTGTTAATTTAACATAAGGTGATATGTTAGAAAGTAACACAAATATTATGTAAAAAATTAATACAAGAAACAGTACATTTTTATTAAATCTATATATTGCATATCATTAAGTATCACAGAGGCATCGTCTAAACTAAAAATTAAAAAAGTAACATCTAATTTCAGTTAAATTTAATATTATAAATATGTCAATTTAACATAAAATTTGTTTTTAAATTGTATCAAAGTATTATGCTTCTTATATTAATTTTTTACATAATATTTGTATTACTTTCTAACATATTCATCTTAAATTAACACAAAAATTTGAGTGGACCATTTGGGACATGTGAAATGTTAAATTTGGCACAAATTTTTTTTACTGCGAGTAAAGACTAATCGTCTTTACGATCCCTTTAATAAAGATATTGCAACGTTAAGTTCAAATAAGTAAATCTTAAGAAACATTCACGTCGCCGTTATCAAATAAATTTATGTGGTTTTCCTATTTTTTACACCAGGGAGCATCAATTATAAAACTAACAGCACTCATCTGCTTTTTGTTTCTTTAATCTTTTGACAAGTCTTTTGAAAAGTTAATATTTTTAAAGTTATAAAGTTATAAAATAGATATAATTTTGTATATTTCTTGCTTTTGAAAGAAAATTCTGTTCTCTAAGTACATTTTATACGTAGTCCTTGTTGTTTGAAATTAGAATAATAATTTATTTTGTAATGCATGACTGAGGTCCGCATATTTTGTCACTAATTGAAATAGATTCATTTAAATGAATATAATATACTTTGTAATCTTTAATATTAATGATCTAAAGGTGCTAGAGTTATTTATGTTTTTTAAATAAAAAATTGTTAAGATATAACTGATTTTTATTTTAGCTAGAACGTGCATCATTTCATATAATGGCATTTGTGAAAGTGTCAGTAAATTCAAAATTACTTTTATTTTTTTTTTATAAAGTGCTAGAAGAAGCTTCAAATATTATTTTTTTTTAATATATCGCCGCCTGAGCCGTAGAAGGTCTATCGAAAAAAACATAAAGAATGGTCTATGTTAAGAAATGAATAAAAAGCGATCTATTTCGCGTAAGGTGTGAAGACCGGTCCATGTCGGAACGCAAACGAAGTACGTTACTAAAAGAAGATGAATCTGTACAAAACCGGGAAAAAATGTAAAAGAATGGCCGGCATCAAATATGCGCACAACTCTCGTACAAAATCTTTGCCATCAAAAACTAGCACTAATTTCTAATTATCAATGAAATCAAATATAATTATTATACTTTGTCTATATATTAATAAAAAATATAATGCGTATAAAATAATAATAATATTTCGTTAAATTATTATTTTTTATATTATTGACAAGTACTATTATATAATATATACCAGATATATTATATTATACATATGATATAATATATATTATTATCTTCTTACATTAATTATATGAATATATATAATAAATATAATAAATAAAAATGTATTATCCCAATCGTGTCATGTTTTTATATTTTTTAATATTTTTTATATTCATGTTTTATCCTGAGACTACTTTATATGTACAATTTAAAATTTGTAATGAATGCAATTTGTGACAGAATAACGCAATTGTACGTATTGTAATACTAATGACAATAAAATTATTATTAAAGTTAAGTGTTGTCAGTTAAAGCTCTAAAGAATAATAATATAACATTATTATAATATTTTACACATCAGATGTTTTTATAATATGTATATAGGGTATCCCAAAATTCGAGAGTAATATTATTACAGTGTGAAACTTTATGAAAAATTAAGTAATATTAAATAAAACAAAACTGTAAACCATTTTTTCTGTAAAGTAGTTTTTTAAATATAAACATTTAAAATTTGACTAATTATAAGCATTGGTTAAAAAGTTATCCGTATAAAATGCATGATATTAAATACTGAACAAAACATTGCCGCTGTACATAGACTATCGTACGGACAGATGACTTTTTAATCAATGTTTATGACGTTTCAATCAAATTTTAAACATTTATATTTAAAAAACTATTTTGCGGAAAAAATGGCTTATACTTTTATTACTTAATTTTTCACGTTGCAGTATTACCCTCAAATTTTGAGACACTCTGTATAGAGACAATTTCAATAATTATTCAATTGTACCAAGAAATTGGCAGTAATTTTTTTATTTCAATTCTTTTGCATGGAGGATACGTGTTGCACCTGATATTTTTTTAAAAGTTAATTTTATACAGTACATAATATTATATTTTAATTACTAATTTAATTATTAATTAGATACATATATTAAAATTTAGTAATTCGATCAAAATTGAACATCGAAATTGGTTAAAAGTTGTTTTATGATGGAGGGGGTAAGCACTCAGAAAATAGATGTAAGATCCAGAAAATATCTGGACTTCGAACTTCAAGACTTCATCAGACTTACTTCACGGACTGTCACGAACTTTATACGGAATTCATTGGACTTCGACGAACTTTGCCGGACTTTATCGGACTTCAAAGAATTCGTGAATTCATCGAACTTCACCGGACTTCAACGGACTTCATCAGAATTCATCAAACTTTGCCGGACTTCAAGGAATTCAAGGAACTTCTGGCAAATGTAGACCGGAATTCAAGAATGGTTACCCCCTTGTTTATTATTTGTATTAGCGTTTATTATTGTTTATTATTGTTTATCTAAAATAAAAAAATAAGTAAATAAGATAAAAGTCTCAGTGATCGGACATCGTGTATGTATCTATTGTGCGAATACTTACACTAAATTTATTACTATTAATTTCAAATACTTTTTTTAT